TGAATCCCAAATCCCAAGTTGGAGCTCCTATTAAAAGCAAACTCTTTTCCCCATATAAAATAGAGGGGATAAGTGGGTTCTAAGTTGCAAGTCAAGTCTGAGTCACTGAAGGAAAAACCCGAGTCAAGTCCTAAGTCAAGTCAACTGGTATGACTTAAGTCTGACTTGACAGCGAGTCCCACCACTCAAGTCCTCATCCCTGCTGGCAGGTAAAACTTCTCCCTTCTGAGAATCACTGCTCCATTTAATTTGGCCAGCACAGAGGTGTAATATTTTCATTTAAGTACTCTTTTAAAAAAGAACATGCTAAATTTAGCAAGTCAGATATCTGGGATGGAAACAAGTGGATGTTTGAAAAATGCATTAAAATGTAGGGGAAGGAAAAACGGACAGATTTTTGTATTCCTACAGCCCACTTGTTTGAAAGTAAAGGGTACATTTCTGAGGACAGTGCCAAGGAGGAGAATAGAACCAGACAAGTGTAAGAAGGAGCAGATATGGTAGACTTGTTCAATGTCTTTGCCCTCCAGGTTAATGTCACATGCATCTTCCTCATAGTGAAGGAGGAAATGAGTGCCTTCTGACTGAATTCTGCAAAGGGTGCATTTAGAAGGTTTCCTGTTCTCATCCGGTACTTCATTTATGCCTTGCTGCTAGGCAAGACAAACCCAGTAATATCCTAAATTAACACCGTGAATTTTCAGACTGTCTACTGCATATAAGGAGCTGTTCCAGAACTTCCATCAAAGGAGCACTTTCCGCTGTTGTCCTTCATTGGCCCTGTTTCTTTGGGAACTTCACCAGCTGAGGCACGATGGGCCAACAGTTCTTCAGTTGCTCTCGCAGAAGAAGAGGCTTTACGTCTGCCTCTTCGGTTGGAGACGGTGGTGGGATCCGATTCCGCAAGACCCCCATCGGTCAACCTTCCATAACCACTAGCTACCGTGGAGAAGGCAACTCCAGCAGAAGTTTCCATAACTTTGGTCAAATGCATAGGATTTCCTATGGTTCAGGCCACAGAGGAACAAACCGTGGAGATAGTTTTATTTCAGGAAGCTTTAGCTTTGGCAGCCCAGCCACTACTAGACACAAAAGTGAAAGGATCCATGAAGGGATCTCAGAACCTCTATGTTTGGGTGTTGACCCCCAAGATCATCAGGTCAAAGCACATGAGAAAGAGCAAATGAAGGACCTCAACACCCAGTTTGCTTCCTTCATTGACAAGGTGAGAAAATCTTGTTTTCCTTTTTCTTTGCTTCTCATCCAAGGCTGAAGGAGACTGTCTTACACAGGTGGTTGGAGATTCAGGACTAGATTTGGAATTTAACTTATCTGTCTCACTTCTCAAGGAAGTGCTAAACATTAACTCTGTGTTATAATCATCAGATTCCGACTAAGGCATGAGGAATATACACCTGTGTGTGTCACAATACTTAATTACTGTATATACGGTGGCTGGTTGTGTTGAATTATTCCATAGAAAAGCAGTGTTTCTGGAGATTGGTGCTGGTGGTGGGTGGAATATTCTGGGGTTCCCTGTGTAGTAGCCCAATCATTACGATAAGAGCTAAACTACATGTTGTGCTGAGAACAAATATTCTTCTTTTTTTTTTAAGGAAGGGTGGTGACTTTTAAAGCCCACAGGTTTTACTCACTGTGGTAGAGAGAGGATTTGGGGGGAGACAGAGATAGAGACTATGTTAGGGTGGCTGGAATCAAAGCCAGTTGCAAGGGGTGAGGTGGGGGAAAATATGTACTCATCGTTCATGATATGGCTTCAAATTTCATTATGAAGTAACATCGCTTATTGTGCAATCTAAATGTAGTTTCATATTCAAACCATATTAACTTTTTAACTTACCCCTCAAATTTGCTGGGGGTTTTGAGCCAAATATTGGCCCCTGTCTCTCCCACAGGTTGGTTCCTTCCTTATTTTGCTTTATGCAGGCGACACAGATAGCTCTCTTCCATCCATTTTTAAATATTTCATATTTGATCCATCTCTGATTCTAAATTTGACATGTTCTTAGCTGTTATTATATTGTGGGTTTTTTCTTTGATGATTTGTACTCCTGTGGTTCCCTATTTTTGTGTATAAAGTTTTAACATTTTATTTATTTTATTGTACATTGTTCTAGGTTGTTGGGGAGATGAAGATACAGCTTATGAAAGCTAATAATGAAATCAGTAATAAAAATAATAAATGATTAACCACATAGGGATATTGTAATAATAAAGGAGGCCTGGTGTAGTGGACAGAGCCCAAAGAGGTGTAAGATTAGGCATTTTTTATTAGAATCATAGACGAATTGAGTTGGAAGGGCCCTAGAAGGCCATTAAGTCCAACCCCCCACTCAATGCATGAATCCGAATCAAAGCAGATTTGACAGATGTTTGTCCAATTTTCTTTTTAATGCCTTCAGTGTTGGACCTCTCACCACCTCCTGAGGTATTTGCTTCCATTGTTGTACTGCTCTAACAGCTAAGAAATTACTGTTAGAGCAGTATGACAATGGAACCAATTACCAACGTCTGATTTAACCATTAAATCATTAGCAGGGATGACAACTTTACCTACAAAACTCACCCACTCATGCGCCTCCTCCACAAACTGAAAGATGAAACTAACAGAACTGCATGAGAACAGTGGCACAAAAGCAAGTGGAAATGGTGGATTTCCCCAAGAAGAGTCTCTTATGCTGAACTGCCCTTGTTGCAAGTCAAAGTGATTTGGTTGCTTAGTTCTGAAGGAAGAATTAAGAATCATTAGCTTTATAAAAGCCCTGCTCCTCTTAGGGATGAAAGCTGCTAGTCTGGTTTGTTGATTTAAAAATATTTTAATTTTAATTTTATTTTTGCTGTGTTGTGGTGATGGAGATTGTCGCAATGGCTACCTTGTGAGACATTAAAGCTTCACCATGTGAAGGAGGGAGAACATATATCACACCCTTTAGCTCTGGGGAGGACAGTCATGCAAAAATCTCATTATCTTAATACAAGTGGTGCCTCGCTAGACGATGATAATCCGTCCAACTAAAATCGCTATTTAGCGAAATCATTGTCTAGCGAAAAGCATTTCCCTATTGTAATGCATTGAAACCTGTTTAATGCGTTCCAATGGGGAAGAATCATTGTTGTCTAGCGAAGATCAGCCATAGGAAAGCCGCCTTGCGAACTGCCAATCAGCTGTTTAAATCGCTGTCTTGCGAAGCTTAAGTCCCCAAAACACCTGTTTTGCGAGCACAGAGGGAGCTGTCAAAATCGTCTAGCGAAAATTGGTTTGCGAAGCAGGAACCACACATTATCCAGGGAAATTCCCCCATAGGAATCACTGTTTTGCGAATCGCTATAGCTATCGCAAAAAGTCAATGTCTAGAGAAAAAACTGTCATGCGGGGTAACTGCCTAGCGAGGCACCACTGTAATACATGCAGAGGTGCAGAGGATATGGATATGTTATCCAATTCTATTTTTCCATGTGGTGTAAATCCTGAGTAGGGATGGAGTGACTCTTCACTGAAATCATCTTTCTCATTTCTTGTCTCAACATGAAACCGATTGCTAAGGAATTTTAAAGCTGCAACATCCTTTGCTTTCAAACAACAGAGCTCAGGGTCTCTGTAATCTGCTTAAAATGCCTTTTTTCCTTTTGAGAAGCAAAGCACACAGAGACGGACAAAAGCCCACTGGCCTTCAAGCTAAATTGGATGCAACTTCCTCTGTGCATGAGTTTCTGTTCAAGCAGAGGTGGGTTAGTACAGATGATCTCAACTAGCTGGGTAGCTCAGTGACTTCAGGACCTGGCTGAGGAACCAGAGTGGTCCTGACC